TGACTGAATCTGTAGAGCATGCAAGCGAGCTTAGATAGTCAGTAAGTACATACACAGCACCGGGTAGATCACGCTTACATGAATTGCTCCGTTGACCTCTGTGTTCTTCTTGGTGATTTTGCCAATGGAGCTGTCAGTGGCATTTTTAGAATAATAGTCAATCAGAGACAGTCATTTAATCGTCGGTGACTGGGACTTACGAATTCCAAAGTCAATTCATTCTCTAATTTACGTAAGCTTTATGTGGCACTTCTGGTCAAAACGTAAGCAGATTGGCTTATATTTTCAGGAATCCTTGTATTCCATGCCCAGCAGTCACTAAATTCTTCTATGGAGAGAATCAAGGATCGGGTCTGTCCGTGAATTTGTAAGCGTAGGATGCCTACGAGTACGTGCAGTTTTCATTGGCCAAAATGCCGAGCCGAATCTAATCGTACTTGACATCGAAAACGCAACATGAGCGACGGAAGATTGCCAGATACTACATCATTGGAGGCTGATGTCAAGGCTATTCGCGACGCTTGTATTTCGCGAGACACGAGAAAAAAGTACGCGGGTAATATTAACGGCATAAAGAAATGGATTCGACAAGAGCTAGCCAAAGTTGACCCTGGAACAGATCGGTACTTTGACACAAGCGGTGATCTTGACCTTGCCCAGTTCACACCAGCGGTTTTTGAAAAGGTTTTATCGTACAAACGAGTTCGAGCTCAGTCAGCAACGCTAAGCGGATATCAAAGTGCTATAAAGGACCTTTACCGCTTGAAGCGCATTCCAGTTCCTGTTGAATACGGAGATGACAAGAAGCAGCTTTTCTCAGGCATCAAGAGAATGGAGGCCGGATTGAACCAGAATAGCTCGCCTAAAATTCAGGCAAGCAGCCGCTGACGTATTCGTTATACAAGTCACTGTGTAAGGCTACACTCAAGCGCAATGATAGTGGATTCTCTCATCTCTTTTTGACTTCACAATGGAATTTAATGTGCCGATCTGTGTCTGTCCAAACGCTACAGACCCTCCACTTAGTGGCAAAAGATGACAGCATCGGAGCTATATTTTACAAGACAAAAACGAATCAAGAAGGTTCCGGGCCGCGTGATCCTCGTCATCTTTACGCAAACCCAATTAGCCCATCGACGTGCTGGGTGACAGCACTAGGAGTTTATTTGGCCTGTAATCCACGATTAGAGCCTAGAGCTTTGTTTACAGGATCTGGTCCAAAGGTTAGATTCGGTAAGGCGTTAAACAGCCTTCTCGAGAAACAGTGTGCTACTAAATGCTACGGAACCCACTCGGTGAGGAAAGGAGTAGCCACATATGCTTGCGGAGGAAGTACAAGTGGGCCGTCTATTGTAAGTATGTGCTTAAGGTGCGGCTGGTCTCTTGGTGGAGTGAAAGATAGATACGTTCGTTATGAAGCGGCTGGTGACCAGTTTTTAGGGCGTGTGGTGGCAGGACTACCTGTACATGACTCCAAATTTGCAGTCTTGCCACCACATTTTGTCAGCAATTCCGACGCAGTCATCAGGTCAAGCGTAGCTGTTATGTTCCCACGGCTCGCTAACGAGACGGATTTGGTTGGGATTCTGGAGTTGTGTCTTGCATCACTAGTACATCACTCGGAGGTTTTGCTGGATAATCTCCCTATCAACCACCCTCTCTTCTCGTCGGCTATTTTCACGAATCAGACTATTCTCCACGACGTGAGATTGCAACTAGAAAGTGGCGAGTCACAATGGATGGAAGCAACGGGAATACCACCGCATATTAATCTGTACATGAAGTTGGAAATTCAGCAAAAATCGATCGACGCGCTTCCCGGTATGCTAGAGCAGCGGATGAAAGAAGTCCTAGAACGGAAAGGCGTGGCCGCTGGAAATATTACCCGGGACCTTCTTCGAGACGAAATCAGAGCGCTATTACAAGATGTAGGGCTCCAACGCTCACAGCCAGGCGATTCTGCCCAGGTAGCACCAAAACCAACGCGCGTCTGTTATTCCTGGGGCGGCAAGTTTCACAAATTGCCGAAAACCTTTGAATTTCCGAGCATCGATCCGCTGGGTGCATGGCGACTATGGTGGTTTGGTGATGATCGGCGTGAGTATCCACCCTATCGGACTATTTCATCTGCTGATCTGGATACACCAAAGAAAAAGGCAACGCTTTCAGAATGGTCAATATTCATGAGGCATATTATTAACGGCATTGAGACAGAGGTAGATGCACCGATGCCAACTATCCGTGACAAAGCCCACTCCATTGAACTGTTTAACATGGGATTCAACACGTTAAAATTGAAGCCAAGCAAGCGTAAGCGCCGTAGTACCCAGATAAAGCTTACCACGGTGTTGAGGCTGATTCGCGAAGCTGATAACCCCACACGTACCCTTCCCTATAAGGCACGCAAAAGGTCTAAGGCTGCCTGTGACTGCGACAGTGAAGCGTCGAGTGCTCGGTACGCTGCATCAGTGGAAACGCATACGGAGCTGTTAGTGATACCAATTTCGTAGGCACGATAGATCTATCTGAAGTTCATGTCCAAGTAGTGTAAGATTACCATTACTTTCGCTGGCCTGCTGGCCACGCCTTAGTCGCTGACTGAATCTGTAGAGCATGCAAGCGAGCTTAGATAGTCAGTAAGTACATACACAGCACCGGGTAGATCACGCTTACATGAATTGCTCCGTTGACCTCTGTGTTCTTCTTGGTGATTTTGCCAATGGAGCTGTCAGTGGCATTTTTAGAATAATAGTCAATCAGAGACAGTCATTTAATCGTCGGTGACTGGGACTTACGAATTCCAAAGTCAATTCATTGTTCGCAAAAAAAGCCGTATATGCGTGTACAGTCTGGTGCAAAGTTTTAGCCGCATCTACGCTTGCTCTTTACCAAACAGCCCGAGCGGTCGATTTGGCTGCCGTAGCTCGATTTATAAGCCAGCTCAACTAGATCGACTTGTACTTTTTAAAGACCTCGATTTAATAACAACCTCTTTTTATTAAAAATCGCATTGAAATGCAGCTGATCGTTAGGCGGGGATCACCGTAATCCTGCGTTTCGGAAGAGACCCGTACTCATGTTTTCCTGTTGATTTGACCACCGTTCGCGATCAGCGATCGCGGAGCTTCAAATAACTGTACTGGTGGCCCAGAAGATACCTGCAGGGTGAGCGCGTATCTGATCTTCGGCACTTTCGATTCGACAAAGAAAGAGTTAAAACCAGCCATGGGTTTCTCAAGTAATATGCTGCTGACTGCTGTTGCATTTCTAGCAGGAGTCTTATCACACGCCTCCCCGAATCAAAGCCACAACTCGAAGATAACTGCTCCATATGCGAATGTTGTTTCCAGTTCTTTCTCCCAGGGCACTGCTCCAAAAAGGTTATTAAGATCCAGCGACTCGCGAGTCTCGGCCGGAGATAACAACGACGAGAGAGCTACCGTATCCGGGCTATCGAAGATCGACAACCTGATGCAAAGAATTCGGAATTCCAGATCGGAGAAAGCGGCAAAGCGTGGCTCCAGTCCCAAGTCCATCCTACACAACTCTTTCGAAACTTACATCTTGGAGAGGGTGTAGCAAAGTTAGATGACAATCCAAACCTCGCGCAATGGTTCAAACTCGTTGCGGCCTACAGAAAAAAGAATGGGAAAGAAGCGTTTTCGGACTTGGCTATCTACTACTTGCTGAAAACAAATAGTGAGGAGGAGGTGACAACCCTTATTCAATCTCTCAAGAACACCCCCGGTTTGAAGAAAATCGGTGCGAGTATGCAACAGTCTCTATCGGGGGCATGGACCTCCAAAGCCTTACAAGAAAAAACCGACCTAACTGCCGTTTACAGAACGTTACGTCTCCAAGAGGCTGGTCCAAAACTGGATGAGACACCTGTCTTCCGTCAGTGGCTGAATTATGTGGAGTCGTACCGGGCTAATAACATAGGTCTCGAGTTTACGGATCTGGACATGTTTGTCTTACTTCGAAAGACAATGCCGGAAGAAAATCTGGTGGCGATGCTTCACTCGCTTCGAAGCACTGCAGGTACAGTATGAGGGATCATGCCGATACCATGCAACTAATGTTGTTCTCACTGTCGAAATCCAGCCACAATACCATGAATACGGTGTGGCTCGCGTCCAAAAAATCTCCCAAGGAAGTTTTCAAGATCTTAAGTCTCTCAAAGGCCCCAATGAGCGCCTTCGACGATGCCTCAGAGCTAATTCAGTGGCTCCGATACGTTAAAGCTTACAGGGATGGCAACCAAGAGGAAAATTTCTCTGATGCGCAAATAGTGCGATTCTTGACGGAGGCCAAGCCGCTGCGGACGGAATGGGAATTTGCAACCCTCTTCCAATCGCTCAAAGGCGTCCCCGACTTGAAGACACTCGCTGAAAACATGCAGCTTTACCTTTTTCGAAAATGGGTGGGCTTGAAGCTTAACCCAGAGATTGCTGGGAATATGCTGGGGCATCCCAATCCAGTTAGTGGTGCATGCTCCAAAGAAAAACTACATGCATAGGACTTGGGAGGTGCACACGCTTTACTACGCTGAGCGCATGGGCGGTAAAGTGGGGCTGGAGAAAGTGAAGGCACTCCTGGACAACGACAACCCTGTCGGTGCTCTCACTGCTGCTATGAAACTTGGATATCTATACTTTTACTACGTAGTACTTTGAGGATTAAAAAGTTATTCTTCGTAAAAGTTGTTTTTTAAATTTACTTTTTAAAGTACGTAGTGGAGTATATTTATTAGACCGTCCTACCGCTTTTGGTAGTTGATGAAGCGGAGAGCTGTGAGGGCGAGAAGACGAAGTCCTGTTGTGAATTCAGTATGCTCTGCAAGTTGAAGCAGCACTCGCATTGGAGCAGTCTCCCACAGGAGAGACCCGGCAAGTGTCCCGTGAGTGAAGGTCGCTGGGGTTTCTCACGTTGTATTTACATTTAGTTAGCTCAGTCTCCATTTTGCAGGGTAAGAAACGCGTTAGTGTCGAGAGAGCTGAAGGCTAAGTAGTCAATAGGAATTCGTGTGTGCATTACATTGGATTCCTAGCTTACGTCGAGAAGTCTCTGCATACGCGCAACAGGGTTATGAGCCCAAGCTGTCAGTAAGGACAGCTGTGAGCACTCTGACGATCCAAGATGTCAACCATGGTTGAGCTCAATAAAAACGGACGCCCTATCGGTTGGCATGGCCAATGCTGGGTGTACTACAAGCAAATGATGGAGATCGCGTTCGAGGACAAGAACGTTCTCGAGTACGCGAGTGGAACCAAGACGTTGGCCTCCAACGCGACGGACGAAGAGAAGTCGAAGTTCAAGGAGGGCACAGTCAAGGTGAAGCAGATCATTATGTCCTCGCTGTCGATGGAACTCGGACAGCAGGTCATGATGAAGAAGACCGGTACAGAAATGTGGAAGTACTTGATGGATACGTACGAGGGTACGGCGAACGCGGCGACCCGTACGAACCAAGAGATCATTCTGTACAACAATCTTCAAGCTGCTAAATGTAAGCCGAACTGGGATGTTCGTCTACATGTTAACAATATGTTCCTGATAAAGGAGCAGCTTGCTGCTATCAATGCTGATGTAAGAGATCCGATTTTCATAAACTTGTTGGTTCGGTCTTTACCGGCAAACCCACGATTTGATCGCCTGAGAGGAATGGTCGAAATCGGAACCAGTGAGGTGGATACTCCTGAGAAACTCAAGGACCAGATCCTGCGAATGGACAGTTACAACAAGTGTGATAAAGAACTTGGAGCTACTGGTGGCAATGGTGCGCACAACCAAGGGCAAGGACAAGGTCGACGAGCAGGACATAATCAAAAGCAGAGTTCTGGCATCAGTACGAAGACTGAGTTACCAGAAAAGGCGGCTGCTATCGCGACCAAGAAGTTGGATCAGCAGCAGAGCAACTGCTTCAGATGCCATCAACCAGGTCATCAGCAGAAGGATTGCCCGAAGAAGTCGCTGACGTCTACAAATGCGCCGAAGGTCAAACAAGCCACGTACACTAAGCGTCTCGAGAAAAGCGAGAACCCCAAACAGTCGGTGGCTCCTGTAGTGCCTGAGCAAACTTCGCAAGTTTCGGCTCCGGACACTTCTGTGGTGCATGTTCCTGTGACGACAGCTACACCAGACATAGCGACCCCCACTGACCACGGACGGCATGATAATAGTCCTAGAGGTAGTGATCAGCGTGATCACTGTGCTGAGGAATATGCTAATTGGGAGTGGTGCCTGGACAACGCAGCAAATGTCCATGTAGCATCGGACCAGCGCTACTTTACGGAATACAAGCCATTCTCGGACCAAGAAGCAGACAGAGTACGCGGATTCCAGAAGAAGTTCGCGGCTGTTCCGCTTGGCCATGGAACGGTGAAGATTAAGGTGAAAAACAGTGGACCTGTTGTGATCCTTACTCTTCGAGATGTATTCTTCGTTCCGGATAGCAAGAATCTGCTGTCACACTCGCAGGCTGAGGACCAAGGTTATGATATTGAGTATCATGGACGAAAGGGCAAGAAAGTGTACGAGCTCTGGGAGAGAGATAAAAAGCTTCTAGAAGTGGGCCGTGACCCATTTGGACTGTACACATTTTCTGCTCGGAACTCATTTCTTCCGAAAAACACCAGGGAGAACCCGAAGGTCGAGGAACAGACCTCCTCGCACCAGGCTCCGCCCCGTGTTACCATCACGGCTGCAGATGGCGCAGCTGATCTGCAGAGATGGCACGAACGACTGGGCCATCTGTGCCCGCAGTTTGTCAAGATGATGGTCGACCATGATCTTGTTACTGGTATGTTGCTGCGACAGCGTAGCTTCGCGGACTGCGAAGCATGTCACTTGGGGAAGCAGAGAAAACCTTCGCCCAAGCAAACGCTGAAGCGTGAGATCAGGCGGAAGAACCAAGTTGTCTTTGCAGACCTGTTATTTCCTCACCAGAGCTCAAGTGCCAAACTTCCCAAGGCTGTATTAGTTATAGTCGATGGCTATTCACGCTATACGACGGTCTATCCGCTAAAGTCGAAGACTGCCTATGAGGTGAGCACGGCCATGCGACGCTATATCGCTTGGGCTGAGCGCCAGTTCAGCAAATGCAAGGTGCTTAAAGTGATCACGGACAGTGGCAAGGAGTTCGTCAACGAGGAGATAAATCAGTGGTACCAACAACAGGGGATAGCGTTTCTGCCAAACCCTCCCCATGGTTCGCATCTGAATCTTACCGAACGAGCAAATCAGACGTTGACACACATGATGAAGACAATGCTCACCATGGCAGGCTTGCCGAAGCCTCAGTTTTGGATGTATGCCTTGAAAATGGCTACATTTATTCGCAATCGGTCGTACTGTCAAGCTATCAAGGATACGCCGTATCGCTTGATGATGGACAAGAAACCTGATCTACATCGCCTGAAAAGATTCGGAGCAGTAGCCTACGTGCACCGGGCTAAGGACCCGTCGCGTCGAAAGCTAGATAACAACTGCCGTATTGGCTTTGTGGTCAGTTACCTGGAGGGCCAACCAGGGTATGAGGTCTATTTCCCAACGGAGAAGGTGGTACAGCACGTCTTGCATGCGTCTGTCAACGAGGAAATTCTCTACAAGGACCGGTATCAGGAAGGCTACCCCAACAACGTCAAGAGCTAATTGTCATCCGTAGATGAAGAACAACGGAGAGGAGACGCACCTGGTATTACGTACAGGAGCGCCATTGACGAACAGGATGTTGCTGCCGAGAAGGACAACAATTCGCCACCTGATTCGCCAAATTTGCCAGATGATGAGAAGATCGAGGAATTATCGCCTGCTGCGCACACTCACTATGACACTATTGAGTCACCGGAGAGTGACCTTAGTGGGACTAAGGAGTGGATGAGTATGCCGATGTATACTGATTTCCTGAAATCGAGGGCAGATCAAGAAGTAAGTCGTGCTAGTGAAGACGAAACGATGTCACAGCCCGACGTCTCTTCTCAAATACCAGAAAAGTCTCAAGATCTAACGGAAGTAACAGCTCAAGACGCTGGTCAACAAGCTGAAGTTCATGTGAATGGAGATAATGCCCCGGAGGAGAAGACTGAAGAGAGCGAAGATCTTAGCGGATCAGGCGAGACTATGATCGATGATCCTGCTAATAGTGATGATGAGGCCATGGAGGTGGAACCCTCGCCGTCATCTGAGCTAGAGAGCCAAATGTGCGAAGAGCCTCATGATACTGATGAACTCTTCGAGCATGATGGTGATCCAGGTCAAGTTTCCAGTGAAGAATGCGAGAATCACAAGGGAGAAGGTAGTTCACCTGCTGAAAGTGATTGGACGCTGCATTCGCCGTGGGATAGACTGGATATAGTGGATACCTACGACTGCGAGCATCTTGAGCGCTATGAAGCTCAGTATGCAACAGACCCTACTGAAGAGGATGCGGGAGATGTATTCGCACTGCGGCGTGAATCCACGGGACTTCAAGAAGAAGTGGATAACCAGATCATTGCAGTTGATGCCGGCAACGGAATAGACACTGTGATGGAGCCGGAAGTACTCACTGGTAATCTACGTTCTTCGCTGGAAGCTGA